GGGCGCCTCGATCGCAGCGGGGACTCGGCTCCCGGCGTGGGTTACCCGCGAGGCTGAAACGGGAGGGGAACAGAAACCCACAAAAGCACCGGCTTTATTCATACCGCTGCCGGCCGGCGTGAGGGCAGAGCCTCACCTGAGGGGTTTAAACCGTGATTTAACAGCCGTGTGTCTTCTTACTAGTGCTCCTTGGGTCTGCTTAGCTGCGTGATGGTATGGGAAGGGGCACTACGGACTCTTCCAGCCGCTCGCACCCTGCACTGTGTTACAGCGTGCAGATGAGAAAAACGAGGGGAGGGAATAACTTCTGTTTCAGCTATCAGGAAAAAGAGAAACAAAAAAAATACAGAGGAAAAATAGGGCTTCTGTCTTTACAGATATACTTTTGATCGGTCAACAATGAACACAATACATGTCTTTATTGGTTAAAAAGTACTTGGACCGTGTGTCACACTAAATCACTTTACCGGCTGTTAGGATACTAATGCAACGTGTAAGGTACCAAACAGTGGTATTTAATAGTTTCTTGTCCTACTCAGGTAGAAATATCCAGAACATTAACCAAAAAGGCAGTTAAGAGTGATTATAAGCATTTCTGATAAACTTACTGGAGTGTAGATATTGAATCCTGTAATTCAAAACTGTATATGTCATTTGTTTCTTTTATTGTGGATACTTTGTATTTGCCCCATAAATTTATCTTAAATCAACTCTTAAATATAGCTTGGTTTCCTTTAAACATGCCTTGTACCTGTGACTTGTCCATGACCTGATAGCAGGGATGGATATCCAATGGCCTCCGCTACAGCAGGAATCATTTTGCTATTTCTATCACATTAATCTGTTTGGTGCTTTGTTGGATTGCTTGGAGCCTCCCATTGGAGAGATGAAGATGCCATAATGAATTAAGGGCTCTTTTTTTTTTTTTTTTTGATGTTGCATTGAAATACAGAAAACATTGATTCAGTCTGCCTCCAGAGGCAATTTTCTGAGCAGTAACTGCACCAATAACATGTAAGAATGAAGCAGTAGTTCAGGATTAGACTGCTTCATCTGGTTTGTAATCAGACTGTACCTCCATCTTGTGCCGAAAAATGAATGGCTTGTTCTGTTCTGGCCAGGGAGTGGTGGCTAATGCAGCAAACTAATAGCTTGTCTGTCTCTGCAGGTCTTCCACAAATACAGGTTACTGACAGTTTTTGCTTTACTGCTGCTTGTAGGCCACCTGCAGAAGCACCAAATAGTAGCTCATGCTACTCAAGTTTGTAATAGTTTGGGACTCCTACTTCTGAATTGCTGTGCTTAAAACCATTTTATAATGGTCTCAGTTGTGAGCCAGCATTAGTTTAAAGCAGTAAGTTGGGTATTTGTAAGTTGTTCCAATTTCTTATGATGGCTCTAGATTGGCTTCATCTTTTATGCCTATATGTTACTGTCTTGATGCCTGATGTTTCAACTTACAGGCGTGCCTTAAAAACTGGCCTAACTGCCTAAAGTTATCTTTGGACAGCAGTCCCCAGCCAGAAGATGTGGCAAAGGCTGTCAGAGGCTAAATAAATCATTGCACTTTGTAAGCTAGAGGCCATTCTCAATAATGTAAACAGTGAGCACTTTTCTCAGGGAAAATCATGCAGGATGAGCAGTCACAGAAGTAACTGTGGATAAGGAATTGTGGATAATTCTTTAAATGCTAAAACCCTCTGTGTTTACCTAAAGGCATTTTCTTGGTCTTGTTTAAACTACTGATCAGATACTGATCCATGTAAACATGTTCTGTTAAAATACTGGAGAATATTTTGAATTTTCTTTCTCTCATTTTTCTTCTCCCCTCCCCCCCCCCCCCCATCCCTTTTTAAAACATGTTTCTCTTATTGATGATCTTCTGGGGGCTTACTCTGATCTGATCCAGTATGACACTAGCTGGAGTTCTGATGTGCCAATTTCTGTAAATTCTTATGCAAACCAAAAAGGAGAAATGTATTATTTTTGTCATTTGGCATTCTTCTACTCTCATTCCTGTTTATTGGTGTTCCTGAAATTATAATACATCTGGATTCATAATTTAAATGGGACAGAACAAATCAGATTTCAAGATAATTGAAAACATTGCATTTAATTGTGAAAACATTCATTTTAATTTTTCCCTAAGTTTTTTTTTTTTTTTTTTTTTTTCAATTTAAGGTTTAATAAGATAATTGGAAGCACAGCATTCTTGCAGGGTGTTCGTAGAAAGACTTCTTGGTTTGTTAAGGTGATACTAGAAATAGGCCCTTACTGGAAGTCACCATTCTTGGTTGCTGCATGTACTGGTGCTTTTTCTTTTCTTCCCTTTCCTCCAAAATACGTGCATCATAGATTAAGAAAAAAAACTTAAGTTGCCAGGTACAGATATCCATAGAATATCTCTTTCTTTCAATGGTTTATATGCTTTGCTATGATGCCTGCACAGTCATCTGGTCCATCTATCCATGCCTCTTTTCAGCTTGTGTACTTACTCTGCACAAAGGCTTGTTGTTGTTCTTAGGTTTTTGTCAGTAAGTTCAGCTGCTTTTGCTATGCTAGAAAATTCTTAGGGTTACATTGGTTTGATGTAGCTTTAGTCTCTTTTGGACTCTTTTTGCAGGAGTAGAAATAAAAAGATACAAAGCTACAAAAATGGCAACAAAGTTGGTCAAAAATATGGAGTGGCTTCTGTATGAGTTATCAAATTGTAGTAGATTCAAGAAGAACATACAGATGGGTTTGTTTATTTTTGTCTAGTGTATAATTAAACTTTGGAGTTTGTGAATTTTTTGCCATGTATAACTTTTGTGACTCAAGATCAGAAGGCAGTCGGAGAAATTTTATTATTATCATGGACGGCTCTTTTTTCCATAGGAAAAATATACTACATAGCTACTGAAGTTGAGCGCTTTTTGTGGGAACAAAAACGGGAACAGGAACAGCAAAGTATCGCCATCATGGTGCTTAACTATTGGCCATTGTCAGAGGCGAGATGCTGATTTAGGTGGATCTGTGGTCTAGTCCAGGATAGCTATTTGTTGTTCCTCCTTGCTAATCAGGCTGTCTCGTAAACTGGCTGGCAATGATATACTTCTCAGCTCTATGACGTCAACTGTTGGTCCTGTCCACTTCAAGAAACCAAGCAATATCCCGCAAACACTTCTTTTAATCAGCTTAGTTGCATTATTTCATATGCTTCTGGCAAAAGTATTTGACTTTTCTGTCCCTTCCTCCCCTATCCCCTGAAGACACTGAGATTAAGAGATAAAAGGAAATAAATAGTTGGCACTGTATATCAATGGCGACGGGGGGTATAGTTATTTTGTGACAGGTAAGCAGCAGCAAGGACACCCTCTGCTTGTTAAAAACTCAGTGCTCTGCCTGTGTCTTCTAGGATCTTTGAGGCAGGTACGGCCCTGAAAAGGTGTTGCTTGCAAACAACCATTTTGCAGAGCTAGAAAATCAAGGAGGAAAGGAAGGTGTCTGTCTTCGAGTATGGAAAACGCAAACTGCAGGTCCCCCACCCCTGTACAGGGACAGTATCACACCCTGGCTGGGGATTAAGGCCAACGTCCGTGGTGGTCTCTCAGGGTAAGGAGTTGCTGTGTTTTTTTCTCAGGAGGATTGTGGTTAGGACTCCAGCAAGGCTTATGAGGTTATAAAAGGTGTCTAGTATTAATTATTAATCCATGGCCTGGGAAGACAAATGGACATTTAAAGATGTCTGAGGACTGGGATAAAAACTGAAGCACCTGCTTACACAGCCACCATAGGGAAATACACTGCTCACATTCTTCTTGTCACACATGGGTGTGTTGTCTGGCAAGCTGGCCAAAGCAGGTCCATGCCTCTCTTCTGGCTCAGAGCACTAGCTACAGTTGCCTGTTTCATCATAGTTTGTTCTCCTGGGTTTTGCAAAGCAACTGCTGACACTCTCACCTACTCTGTGTGGGGAGAAGTTATTTCAGTTGCTTGTACATAAGCAGCTTTCTGGTTCTGTGAGGTCTGTTTATTTTGGTTAAGACATGCTGCTGCAGTGATGGTTAGCATTGTAACGTGGGTGCTCCAAATGTGGATTGGAGTTTTAGTGCCGCTTTCAAAAGCTTCCTTTCACCTTACGCGCTGATTCCTGACATTTGCATCCAAGCACCCTGTTCCGTTGTCTTCTTCCACATATAACTTCTGCACAGGTGGTTATTGAACCTATGCTGTGATGGTCCCTTATATTGAAAGCTTCTCTCATAAGATATGTCTCCTGTGCTGTGACAGTTAAACATATGTGAAGGTATTGCAGTTTACTAGCATTCTATTTATGTATCTTAGGCTATATTGTGTGTGTGTATATATAATATACATAATATAATACACTACACACACACTATGACAAACAGTACATTAGGGTTCATATACGCATGTATATACATATATACTATACACAAACACTATTATGTATAGTACTGTACTACTGTGTATGTAGTATATACTACATCTAGTACTATATGTGTATAGTATATATGAGCATATATAAAACCTAATATACTGTATTTGTACTGTATTTCCTATGATCAGCTACTTAACTGTTCTCCCAGTCCATATTTTGTCTTGTGGACAAATGTTTGTGGGTGGAGAATTGTTTAATAAAAGCAGGTTGAGTATTCATCTTTGTGCTCTGAAGGATCGAGCAGCATCTTCTGGTTCTAATCCTAAAAGTTTCTTGGCTGCAACAACAAACACTGGTCTAGCATGTATCCAGCTAACCTTTATCTTCAGGCTCTGTTGCATCAAAAGGTCTTTCAGCAAAGGTGAGCAAAGCATCCTGTGAGGGTTAACATCTTAAAAATGGAGATAAACCGCAGGTTTTCTCTGTTGTGTTTTCTTCCTGCATCTTTTTGGCTTTTCTGGGGTTTTTTTGTGGAGTTGAAGCTGTACCCTGCAATCATGTGATTGACTGTCAGTATCAAACTTCCACTGCTAAATACAGAGAGGTATGTGAAATCCTTGACTAATTTTGGGGGATACATCCATCTCCCCTAGTTACAGAAACACCTTCTGGCAGGGGAGCTTTTAGAAGACTGCTTGCATTGAAGGTTTCCCTGGGCAGCATGAGTGAAGTGTGGAGGGAGAGAGGGTAGCTCTGCCCCACAGGAGCTGATACTTTGTGCTTTGCCAGAGCCTGCTCTGCCAGACTCCGTGCCTGACTCTACCAATGCTGGAAACTGCAGCAAGCAGCAGACAGCCTGTGAGTGTGAGATTGTGTTATCACCTGCAGGTGCCTTATCTGCCCCTTTGCATGGGGGAGGGCACTGAGACATGGCAGTACTGAGAATGAGACAATTTGTTAAAGCTTGCAACTTTCAGCTTACTCTTCTAGTGACTTATGGCTGCCTCAGTTAATTATGATAAGAAATCACTATTACCAAAACAATGTTTAATTAAAAAAAAAATTTATTTCACACTTCTATACAAATATCCACAGGTAATTTCTTATCATGGAATGATGTAGCATTGCTAGCTGGTATGAAAAAAGTTTGAGATTAAAGTATACCAGTGACATGACTTATTTTTCAAGAACTTTCAGTTTAACACTGCTAAGACATTCATGTTCTTAGGCGAGGGCCACAATCTGCTTTTAAAGCCAAGGCTATTTGTCAAGCTTCTCAGCCCCTGATTAGCCTGGCTTCTGATGCTGCTGAGCCTTTCAGCAAATAAGCTAGAATTTTAAAAGCTCAAAAACTGGGTAACAGCTAAATACATGTGTAAGTGTTCATAAAATCAGGGTCACAACATACTGAGATTATCTAGTGGGAGGAAGAAGAGTCTATTAAATTAATGCACTCTTCCATAATGGTAACTTTTTAGGTGACCACACCTTCCAAGAAGGTATGTTCAAAGTTAGTAGTAAAAATAGGACACTTGACAACTGCCCTCCTAGTGGGTTTTTACCCTGTGAGGGGGAAAAAAGCACCAAGAGGTTTTTGCATAGTTCAAATTACTAGCAATTAACATGCATACTTTTGTTTTATATGGAATAAACAATTGTGAATTAAATATTTGTTCTTAAATAGTACCAACACTTTAGAACATGGGTAAAAAAGTAAACTCTTCTTATCAGTTATGTTACAATAACTAGATTACTGATAAACACAACAGTGTGGTTCTACTTTTATCAACATTCAGGTATTCAAGACGATTCAGTAGTCTCAATGTGGATCAGCTCAGATCCCCATAGTTATAAGTTAGGCATTTATAGCCTCCTTCAAGTGCTATATAACAGTTGCAGTAGTCAATGCCTTTTGCCAAACAGGAAGTCCTTACGAAGCTGGAAAGCTTTTTCCAGAGAACCTCTCGCTTTCTTGTAGTAAGTATAAAACTGTATCTAAGAACCCTACTTCTGCTTGGTGTCCAAATCGTTAAATAGTCTGAAGTAATATACAAATCATGTTACAAGACCTGATAATTCCTATTACATAAAGTTACAAGTATCAGGCAAAACAAGCCCCCATACACATCACTGGAATAAATATTTACATTTTAGAAAGCATTGGCACCTTCAGTGACTTATTAAAATGCAGTGAAAGCCTCAGGTCTCATAATCTGAAGTTCAAAAACACAGTGGATTTGAAAGTTCAGTTATGTCTTTGGCCTAATAGTTAGTCAAAGACAATGATTTGTAACAAAAATAAATACAAAAATGACTGAAAAATATATATACAAAAAGTACATCTAATATTCAAGCTTCTCTTTAAAAAAAAAAAAACCTGTGTATATTTGATGTGAGCAAGAATCACACAATCTGATCTTTTAAAAAATCGAGCAATATGTGACCTATTGCACATGTAATTTAAGATGATGCTTTTTGTTACGCCCTAACTACTGCAGCAGGCAAAGTTTTATGACTAAAGTAGATTTGCAGGTCTTCAGATTATACTTGAACAAAGTGTGTTAAGGCCACTGTGTGTTTATAATGGACTATGCATTGAGGGAAGGATGGAGAACCTGTCTTGACCATGCATTCCTTGCATACCTAGGAAGAAGATTAGGATCACAGGAAAAGGTCTGCTGTAGTGGTTTTGCATATTTTGCGGAAAAGACCCCAAATCAACACAGTATCTTCTAAAGTGTGAGTTAGATTTGAAGGGTGAAAGAGGCAGTCTGGAAATGAAATAATGCAAATAAAGTCTGTTGAAGCAATTTTAACTGTGCAAACAAAAGCTTCAATATAAGTAGTAATATCTACAATCAAATGGTGAATGTTCATAGCTCTGACTCCATCAGTATTCCATTAATGAAAACCTTAACCTCTATCTGAACTTTGTGGATGAAAAGAATTTTTCCCTAAGAATAACTTTCATTTTCATTCCATTTTGTGAACCACTGTTTTGTCTCAAGATCTTTGCATTTCCCATCTTCGATCTGCCGCTCTTCTTTTCGAATTCTTACAGCATGATATCGGGGGACACTGTCTTCGTACCTAGAACGCTGGAAGAACCCGCACTGGGGCAGAGAGAAGGAAAAGAACAGTTTAGGTTCCAAAGTACTGCCAAAGTACTACAATTATAGAGGCAGTAAAGTCTTCCTTCGCACAGATACACAGGTAAGAAAATTGAAAACAAAAATATGTAGGCCAAAAATGTAGCGTATGTAGCTGTAAAAACATGAGCCAGCAGGTCTACATTAGTTGTTCCAGCAGCAGTTGAAGACAAATGGCACAGTCTGACAATCTGGTAATCTAACACCTTAAAAATGTTCCCTCCGCTAACTTTCTGGATTTGTTTTACAAGTCTTTTAAGTCCTCTTATAAAGCTATTCATTCATATAATGAGAGAATGTAATGCTACACAAAGAAGTAGATACAGTTCAGGAGAGCTTGCTTCTCCTGAATCAAAGGTAGGTATGTACTTCAGTATCTTCCTGTATGGTGACATGATTACCTTTAGAAACCTACAGAAAGATTTCCAGGGCCTTCAAGAAAAGTTACACTAGGGCCTTGTTTTTCAAAACACCATCTCAACTATAGTCACCTGAACTAACTAGACATATGCAGTATTAGAACATGAGTCTTGTTTAGTTTGCCATAGGATAAAAAACAGACCTAACTTGAAAGTTTTGTAATGTGCCACGACACAAGTCTCCCTAGATGAAATCTAGTACAGCTTATTAATGCCCTGCAATTTTTTATTCAAAGCCACTGTAAAAACTGATTTTAGATATTGAGGAATGGACTGAAATTAATTTTCAAAACAAAATGGAGTTAAGGCCACAGCGTTACAAAGATGATGATTGGTAGACACTCAACTTTATATGCTTATGGGTCACTGATGTCAAGATTAAGATTAAGAGACATTGTGCCATCCAGCTGTCATTAGGTACTGCTAGAAAAAAAGAAGGTTAAAGTGGCAAGGTTTTGTTCATAGTATTTGAGGTGGTGGGTTTTTTGTTTTTGTTTGGTTGTGTTTTTTTTTTTTTTTAATAATACTAGAACTTACATGGAACTGAATTTAAAAAAAATTACATTGAGGCATAGACCAAATCTTTAGCCATCTCATTGAACACTGTTTTGACATATTTTAAGAATTCCTCCCCATCCCTTCATCCCAAGCATCACTGATTAATATAACGTACATGCATGTAATATCTTAAGTTGAATAAAGGTTGCTAGAAGCATAAATCATCATGCATCTAGTAGCTTCAGCAGAGGAAAGCGTGTTCCTAAGAAAGTATACCTTAGAACTGAAGGAAAACAGATGTTTCCACAGCAATTAAATTGTCATTATGAAAACTCCTTTCCTTATAAGCAACATGTATCTTTTAGCATGCACTAAAGGTTAGTAAAGCAAGTTTATTGTCCACGTAGGCTTAGCTTTACATCTTAACTCTGCAGTGTTGATTACCGTCTCTCAAGCTTAAAAACTTATTTGTACTGTTAAAACATAAATTAAAAAAAAAAAGACTAAAAACCATTGCAATAGATCAACAGGTTTTCTAAAGAAATCAACAAGAAGCTTTTTAGACCAAGGTAAACACCTGTGTTCACGTGCACCAAAAGCTGAAAATCTATCGACGGAATGAGCAAGCAAGTATGGTAGTTTGAAATCCAAAAGTTAATAGAACATATGCAGTAAAAGCTTCATAATTAGCCACCGCAACCATAGCATGTGCCACAGCTAAAAATTAAAAAATGTCAATTACCAATTACAGAAGTAGATCAATACTATGCATCAGAAGTAAGCCTCTCTTTATCAGATGGCTGAGCATGGATCTCAGCCTTGTGATATGTGGCATCGTAATGATCTTTCTTATTTCTCTTGAAGAAACCACACTACAAGGAAGCAAGGTATTTAGTCAATTTTTGTGGACTGGAAGCAGTCAAACCTATTAAAACTGACTTAAATTAACTCTGTGACAGTCTTCCCATTATCCCTTCACAGGCAAAAAAAAACAAAACAAAACACCAAAAACCACAAGAACTCAGCTGTTTCTAGATCTGAGAACTTCTTGGACTAACTCGATCTGTAAAATAATAGAATAACCTGAGGTAAAGAATATTAATTTTAGAGGCATTTTGATAAATTTGTAATGCATCTGTTGGGTTTGTTTTTTTCAAGAAAAGCTACTATAAAGTATGTCTAGCAACTAAAGCTGGCTGTGAAGAGCAGAAAGAAATCTATACAGAAACCTGTTTGTGGACTAGTGCACAGGATAGACAAAAACATAGGATAGAACAAAAATGCTTTGACCTGTACAACGCAAGCATTTGTCTTACATCAATCACATAACTGGCTTTGAAGTACCATGTTTGTCCTTCGTAAGATGGCACAGTGTTCGTCATCAAAAGAAGCATTTTACACTGCGCATGCACATGTGAAAATACACACATTTTCATGTGCAGTAAAACACTAGTAGTTATAACCTAACAGCCCACCTGAAGTAGTAATTCATCAGGAAGATTTGCAGCAGGGACTGGGCATTTATTAGAAAATAGGGAAGTCGGAACTATCCTGTGAGAAGTAACCTGCAGCAAATAGTAGCTCCTTAGCAAAGCTAATCCCTGCAGTTTCTCCAGAAGAAAGTAAGTGACAGACAGGACATTCTTCTTCACCTCTTCTTTCTTATAACCTTCTGCTATCCCAGAACAGTAAATACTAACTGCCTGTGCCTGTAAAAACTAAGAATAAAAGGACTGCCCTGTTATACCTGGAACCACAATTAGTTGTAAAAATGCCAAAGGTAGTTAGAAAAATAGGTACTTGGGTTTTTTCTTTTGCAAATTGTTAACCTTTTGTTACACACACTTATTTACTCCTTTAGGGTTTCTAAGATAAAAGCCAATACTACAGCAATTCACCAACGCACTTGGCTATGGATTATTTCTGTACCTTTTGGTTATTTTCCCCCTCTACTATCAGTTTAATAGCATTCCTAATGTTATGAGAACAAAGACCTGCTAAAACATTTGTAGATAGTTCACATGAAGTTTTATACCTAACTGCAGAAGCCCCAATTAGCTGTATCCATCCATATCAAAGTAATTATGGTCTCTGAACATTTGTCTCAAGTTTTGCCCAGATCTCAAAATACTTCCTTTTGAGGATGTGGAAACAGAAAAATTTCATAACAAGTCCTCCCATGTAACCATTTTCATTCCAAATGTTGCAAAACTGAGAAACTGATAAAGGTAATGTATGGTTTGGGCAGTTTTGCTCTATTTTGAGTCCCAAATACAAACCAAAATACTTGATCTTTTGCTGTCTTGTCAGCTGTAGACCAGGAAATGTAAAAAAACCAGATGAATAAAAACTCACCTTCCATAGTAAGAATACCAACAGTGCAAGCATCAGTATTCCAGCAAAAATAGCCACCGAGATGATCCACCAAGGTACTCCTGTATAAAGTGCTACTGGTTTTGCAGGAAAGACAGTCACACGCACCTAAAGGACAGAAAATACGTGAAGATGGAAAGAGCATTTCAAAAGCATCCATGTTTAATATAAAGCCGCAATTTATACAGTCTTATCCCTTTTCTAACAAGATGTCTTCTCTCTCTCTCTCTCTCATCTACAAAATGTTTTTGAAGAAAAAGTGCCTGCTGGTATCATTTCAATATGGTAGTGAATTTTTCCAACCTGATTAAAAGGTAAAAACAATCAATAATTCAGTTATCAATAAACTCAGTTAAAAATCTAAACTTTTAGCTACTTTTGTTTTAAAATGTGGTGGGGTTTGTTCCCCCCACACACACACTCTTTGAGGTAAGCTGGAAACATCACAACCATAGCATATGGTTAGCATTAAATGTTGAACCTACCTGAGCAACTTCGTTTGTGAGTTTAACATTCTTAGCTGCAGCAGGAACACTGATTGAAGCCCTAACAAGAATGTCCAGGTAGTTCATTTTGGAGTATTCCTGTTCCAAAATAAAATATGGACAGTAGACACAGAACAGGAAAGAACTCTGACCTTCCAAAAATGGCAGGTAAGAGGACTTACTTCTAAGAAAGTACTGTTCCACAGCCTGGAACGCAGCACAATAGATGCCTTGCTGTCTAAACCCTTCAGGGGACATTTTATGTCCACACAGCGTGCATTCACATTGCAGTCCTGCAATTACAAATTTGTACATGTAAATAAAAACACATCCTCACAAATTGTTTAACCCTCGCCCACCCACCCCAATTAAAAATTGGATTATTTGCATCATATTAATGGGAAAGAACCAACATCTGTTTGTACTGACAGCAACAGGAAAATAAAATGAAGATGCTATTACCTGTTTATTTTAACACAGATAACTAAGCAGAAATTCTTTTCTATTTCTCTCTCATCAGTAGATAATCTAAATGGTCAAATTTTAAAAGCATCGATACTTGGATTTAAGATAAAAACAAAGCAATGAGATACCTTCTTTCACTCTGCCAAACTCAGAAAAGCCCACTTACAAGTGCAGGGGGAGGTAGCTGACAAGACTATAGTTGGTGCAATGTGCTTACCAAGGTCTTGTATTTTCTTTCTGAGAATAAAGAAAACGTCTTGCTGTCTGTAATCTGCTTCTCTGCAACCTCACGTTTCCTTCTTGAGTTATGGGATTCCTTAAAAAAAAAAAAAAGGTAAAAAGAGTTTTAGTAGCTTATCCTAAGTATCTCTTAATTCTGACCCCATAACAAAGCAGTGAAACGAGTTCAGTGAGCGTTTTCTTGTTCCAAGATCAGCACATGACTGACATCATTATATATCCCTACTTATCTATATTTATTGCTAATAGTAGAGTCAGGACAATTACTAGAATTTGAAATGACTATTTTCTTTAATAGGTCAAGGGGGTTTTAGATTTATAAAGCTTTCAATGCTATCTATTTTTGTTCTATGTCAAGGATATTAATGTTACTATGTGAAAAGAGTAAGATTGTGCTAAGGTCAGTAGGTGCATTTTTTTTAAATGTGTACTGATTACACTCACTGAAAGTTTTATTAACTAATGTAGTGATCTGACAAGAATGGGTTTATGTGCGTGCAGTTCTAATGGTGAAAATTAAAACTCCTCCCAAACGATCTTAAGATTATATGCAAAAAAATTACGAAGATGAAGACTCAGGATTTAGGAAAAAAATCTTGCTAGATAGGCACAACAAAGGGCTATGAAACTCTTGCTTGAGAAATCTTTTTATCATATTTGTCATAAATAAGTAAATTTAAGTGCAAGCCCTTTCTCGTAAAAAATTACATGGAATTCCCCCAGGCTGGGGAGATGTTTACTGTTGTTTATTGTTTTCTGTGTAAGAACTCAATCAGATATCAATAATGCTGATGAAATGTGTTAAAGCAAACAGCAGTTTCATCCTGTAAGAGCATATGACAACAGTGCCCATTGCAAAAACAGTCACCATGACATAGCGTCTATCCTTTAGCATGTTATCCTCATTAGCTGTTACAAAGTCTCCTAATAAGCTTAACCCTTGATACACTGTTCATGTATTGTGCTTGTGAGCTGCTTAAGACAAAAAAAAAATTCCTTCTGGAGGCAAAGTCATACACCCTACTATCACATGCTGCGGTGCTTTCACGTTGTACTAATTCATGAACAGAAGACACTAACATACCGCAACATGCAAACTGTTGATTTCATTCTCGGGTCGACAGGAGACTTTTTCCAAGCCTTTGGAATCTATTTTCATCAAATAAAGCAGCCATTTGCCATTACTAATTTCTTTCGGCCATTGGATGTCCAGGGAAGCGGTACCAAATGTTTTCAGTGGTCTGCCCAAGTTAGTTACCTGTTAAAACAAACATTCTTTAAACTGTGAAATACTTTTTAAAGTATTAAAGGGATTTTCTTCTCAATCAAAAGCGTTATTGACTTGGGCAAGTTTTAAGCATGCAGCTAATGGTAAATTTAAAAGCAGATGAAAGACTCGAAACAGAGTATAAAGGCAAAGCATATACTGAAACTAGCACACTTGGATAGCAAGTAAATACAGAGTTTAAACATACAAGGATTAAAATTGCCTAACAAGAACTTTAAGCTGTTGATTTTTAGAAATCTACCTTCATGTGAAACAACCACCACTCCCGTTTAGAGTTAACAAATCATTCAGTTACATAACTGAAGCAAATTGCAAGTTTATGAGGAACTCTGACACAGAAAGATAACCAGCTCTTGCTTACAAGACTTACAAAAGCAAGTCTCAAAGTTGTTTCCCAACCTATTTTTTGCTTTCTTAGTGTTACTGTTCATGACAGCAAGTTCTAAAACAGATACTCTAACTGCTTCTACTTTAATGCATGCAGGTACAGAAGGAATTAAAGGATTGACAGAGATGGACTTTAACCCTGACAAACTACTATGTACAAAGACAGTGGGGCTTGCATTAATGATGTAGAAAAAGCAACGCTCTTGCTGATAAACCGAGATTTTACAGAACCAAAATCGTCTCTCTTAGCCTTCTCCTTGATTTATTAATTAGGCAGAAGACCAAAAGAGTGACCCACACATTCAAAGTGGCTCCCGCAGTGCTGTCTTGTGCCTGCTCGATCCTGCATGCAGTAAGTACATGTACTTGCTGTCTGTGTGCATCAGCTAACACCTGGGCATGCCACGGTCAGGGTTCTGGGTTTAAGTGTTGTTCCCTACCTGCACGGGGTTTTATGCTGTACAGCTGAATGTGCATGAACTGCTCTGAAAAACACATGTACAGCCAGCCTCAGGCCACTTCCTCAAAATACGATCGTAAAACATCAAGGCCTAAAGAAGCTCTAGTCTGCAGTCAGACTGCATGTTCTGATCAGGAAGTTGGGATTTTGGGACAAGAAAAGCCAATTTTAAGTCCAGCAACTTTTCCAAGTATTCATATGCATAAAGAGAGAAGCTGTTCATTTGATTAAAAGCAGCTGTTGGCGTTAATCTAAATTACTCACTCTGAATTCATACTCTATGAGGTTTCCAATATGATCTTCAGATTTCATAGCGCTCTCACCAACGATGCTACCTCCAAAATATACCTGAGAAGGCTTAGCAACTCTGTTCAGGTGGGGGTAGGGAAGGAGAATAATCAGATTTTAATGAAGTCTGCAGCAGAACTGTTGTCCCCAGCCCCCCCCATTTGTTATGCTATCAACACTTACCCAGTGAGTGATAAAAGCAATTCAAGAACCACTTTAGCACTAGCTGTAATTGGAGTCGAATTAACTTGAGTGCTTGTTCTACAATGAAAAGGAAACAATGCTTTTTTACAAATGTAGCAGTTTTCATTTTACTATTAAATTGCTTTTGTGAATCGAACAAATTAATTCAAAATGTTTACAACTGTATATAAAAACATAGCGCGCTCACAAAGAAAACTTACGTTTCCAACTTGAGATTAATGTCCAAGTCTGTTGTATCAACATTAACTTTAGTGGTACTCAAGATCAGATAAAAGGTTACCTAGACAAGAAAGAACATCCATGAAACACGTAAACATTTTATAATATATATGAATACATGCAGTATTACAGAAACACACCATCAAGTTCTAGAGTTAAAAAGACAGATCTAAATCAAATCTATAGTTATGACACACAGAAACTTTGGACGACTGCAGTCAGGAATCAGATTTTATAACTTGAGTAAAATAGGTGCAACTTACGTTGGAATTTCTTTTGAAAGGATTTCCAAGTTCACACTCTGCTTGAGAACCATTTTGGTTAGCACCACATGTTAGCTGTTTTTCCTGATTAAACAGAATACGTTTAAAAGTAAAAATATGCTGAAACTATTTAAAAATTGGAGTATCTTTTCTCTTAAAAATACTTACAGGATAACCCCTCATCTCCCTGAATGCAGAATACGTCAGACTGTCTGGAAAAGTTGCAATTAGTTTAGCTTCATATGCATCTTCACCATCTTTTTGTGGATTTTTTGCATCAGATGGATTGTTTGTCACTGTTACTTCCAGGGCAATATCTTTCTGATCTTTCAGAACAAGCACTGGCATGCCATTTTCACTACAGAAACAGAGTATACAGGGTTGCGTGCATTAGGAAGACAAATGTGTATGAAAATTTGCTTCTTAATATGGTTTACCCAAATATAATTCTCTCTATTAAGGAGGAATTACTGTAAGACCATAAACACATGAATGGTCGTAGGTTTTTCTCCCAGACCAGTATTTTCTCTGTGAAAGTGGCCAGCAGTTAACAGGATAGATCAGACTGATACACCCCTCAAGTAATCAAGAGTTTATAGTATTTCTGAACCAGCACTTTGCATCTGGCTCATGTTTAATAGTGATGCATTTTCTCTGACTAAATCTACTGACCTACTTTTTTCTTGTAAAGTATACGTGCTTTTGGCTTCCGAGTCGGATTGTGGCACTCGCTGCTAAAGGTAACGTGACTGTTGACAGTAAGTAAACATACTTCCTTTTGTTTGTTTTATTTTACACCTCCTTTCTAATTTCACTGGCCCTCCAGGGAGGAGGGATGCAGTGGGGTGTTAGGTGCGTGTTACGGTGAAATGATGTCTCTGTTCACTTCTCTGTAACTGCTTGTCTTAGGCTACTAGACTATAGTATATCGTGTTGTCATACTCACAATCTAATTTCATCTCAAAAAGAGTTAACAGCGGCACACACAATAAACTACTGCAGGGCTGGTTTAGAATCTCACTTCTCCAGGAGTTAGAAACCTTTTTTGCCTAACTTTTAGCCCACGCCTGCACAGCTGTGGCCACTTTGTATCCATTTGACTCTGTACCACCTCTCTTCTTCTAAAGCTCATCCCCACTCCCTCACCTTCCTCACCCTGTCAGATCAGTACTACTACACAGGGCCGTGTTTGTCAGACTAACAGAACAAAGCTGCTCTATCTCCCAAAACCCCCTCCTAAAAGTTCTTTTAAGCACTTGTTAATAATTTGAATTTTAGCAATGCATTAATCAAGGCTTACATCGGTAAATAAGTAAACCTGTCTTCATTTCCTTCTCTAGTGCAAAACCGGTACTGAAGTTTCAGATTGCTGTGACATTCATTGTCTTCTCCACATCCTTCTTTTAAGAACTCCACCTAAATAAAACCAAAGCATTTTTACTGTATGCCAGATGATACTAGCTTAAAACAAGATTTCTGGTGTGCACAGCATAAAGCATCTACAGGGAACTCTCAGACACTTTCCTGGATAGAGTAAGATTTTAACCTGACTCTTACTTCTTGCCTGTCAAGAGTTTTTCTTCGTGAGACATAGCCCTTGATGCTGATAATTTAAAACTTTAAATGTGACCAAAAGGCAGAGTTAGATAATTCTAAGTGAGAGCTACACCTCTAATGAGGAGAAACGTCCTTAAGTCTGATTCTTCAATGAGCATTGAGGAAACGAGATCTTTTACCGGAGATATTCCCTCTTTTACGTCACTGCTGCAGAGCTCTAATGCTGTTACAGCATCCTAACCACGGAAGAATTAGACTGTACAGTATTCTGTGATGTGGGACAAGTGTTCACAGTGGGAGATGATGGATTTCCATTTTTAATCAAAAGTGCATTTCCTCCTAAACTCGTTGGGGAGAGGAAAAAAAACCTAGCAGCTATACCAGCTTCACTTTTGTTGCAAAAGAAACACAGGATCTAGGTCATAACATTTTGTAACAAGTTCGTAACAAAATATAAAATATAAGCCAGTAGTTACAAGTCCAGTGCCACCCCAGTTATTTCCTTTGGCCATAATTTAGCTTTCTACAGCCTTTAAAATTCAGTGATTTATCAAGGTGCAGATTTATGGGAAAATGTGATATCAAAGGCTTACTTTTGTGGTCTTTGTTTCAGATTCATTTGAATTTAGAATTGGTATAAGATCCGGAAGTGCTCTCTCTTTTCTTGTGGATGGTGAGCTAGACTCCAGGCCAGCAATTTTAACACTGACTGATATTGGAATGGGGCGTAGCTTATCTTTAATTTTTTCCTGTTAAAATATTTTAAATGGCATAGTTAGTGTACAGTGTAGAGAAGAAAAAACAACACAAAGACTAGCTTTTGATATACATTTTAGAACAAGCAGTAAAGCAAAATCTTTTCTGCTACATTTTGTATTAAAACTATTCACTATATAGAAACCCAGCATTTTCTAAAAATGTGCACGAACACAAGGAGCCTAGCCCTACTGTCTTTTTTTCCTGGCCTCCCAATCTGACGATTTCTCTCACCGTTAAGAATTCCTAGGAACAACAGATGGTAACCCAGGCAAGTGAAATTCACACTACAACAGTAAAATAACACTTTCTCCCTTTTGCCTAAGTTCAAGCTCTTTAATTTGCTGTGGCCAGAAGAAACCTTGGAGGCTGGCTCATTACTGCTGAGCCACAGATAGAGAATTGGTTCAGCTTCTGGAGCAATGCCTCCTTTAAGGGCCAGTGTAGCAGCCAAGTCAGAGAGCACATACCAAGCTTTCTTGCCCTGCCCATTCATCCCCTCCGAAACCCGTGGGTTAAGATTCTCTTCCTAGCCAGTCACAGTGTTAAACTCTGTAACAATGACTGCTCTTGGAAACAGCTCTCTATTTTTGGCAGTTATTCCCTCTCTGTTCTTCTAAATCAGTTCTATTCACCTCCAGAGCATACTGCAGTGGCTACAACTTTTATTCATACTTCGTAAGAAAGGCAACAGGAGGAAGCAGCATGTGTGCAGGGAATAGTAAGGTACTACTTAACTATGGTTGTTTCCTAGTTTTGAGGCTTTATGTTGCATGTGACTTTTAAGTTGTATACAAAGGTACTGTGAGGCTGGAAAAAAGCGCATGCTTTTGTTTTAAATGGATCTAAATGAAATAAAAATGAAATACTCTGCCTTACCTGCAGTACAAGCTTGGTTGTCACACACTCTTCTGAGTTCTGCCCCCTTAGGGTTGTACTTGCAGTAAACTGATCGGACAGGTGGTCTTTAAACCGTACCCTAGACGGCAGGCCTAACTGCCTCCTCTCGTTTTCTGCTTCAAATGTATAGTTGATCTCTATATGAAGAAATAAAGTAGGTCACTATGAAAAAGAACCCTTGCCTTATTACAAAGAACTTTCATTTCTCTACATACAATCTTACAACGTTATTCTAGAAGACTGTTTCAGCCAGTGCCAGGCTTCACAAACTGTTTTCAGTTATTTACAAAACTTTCTCCATCTGTCAGTTTTGTCCCTCTCCAGTTGAGGGCCAGGTACCCTGTGCACGTATCTAAAGGAAACGTCTAAACCAAATCTTTTTATTCCAAAAGTACCCCATTACTTTACCAGCATGCAGAGCTGGCTGGAGGAGCTGCAATTGCTGCTGTGGAGCCAGTAGAGGGCTGAGATACAAAACTTTGTAAATACTCTTGACTCAGCTGTCCTTGATTTCTGTTTTGTCCCAGATCGCACCTAAGCAGCCAGCAGGACTTTGAGGTCAAGGTACACTGTTAAAATTAACACTGAAAGCAAAAGCGTGACTAGAGCTTTCTAGTTGTATGCCGAGGCATGTTTTGATAGATCTGAACTCTGCGCATCTTTTAATCATCTCAGCTAATTCAACGTTGCAAGGCTGGGAACGGCACCCAGCGTGCCAAGCCTCGGGAGCACGCAGATGGACACACGTGAGCTGCCTCCGAGAGCTGGAAGCGCTTGAGCTATTGAAGGACCAGCACCTTATTCAAGCACATCCTATGTATTTTGCAAGTAACTGAGAAACTCAAGACAACACAGGAGGAGAAGGAGGTTTGGGCTTAAAATTCTTCTCATTTCCTCTCAAAATCCTGCAGTTTTCTGAGGTGTAGTAACAGCAGCATTGTAATGAGGAAAAACAGGGAGACAGGAGACATGAGAAACTAATGCTTTACATTTTTAACTGTATTTATGGCACAGTCTTCCAGGCTCCTATTAATACAAAGGTTTTTTATTTCAGTTACTGATTTCCACAAAACCATTTTCATGAATACAGAACACTGTTTTATAGGGTATGTCTCCAATAAGAAATAATGCTTACTAATGATATATAAAATGGGCTTTCAAAACTATTTTCTAAAGCAGCAGTAACCTAGAGAGGCAAAATGTTTTTGGTCTGTATGGCAGCCATTTGCTCACTGGCAGGTATATTACTTAGAAAGCTTCAGTTCAGTCTGTCATCCACAGAACTTCCTAACACACCAGCATGACTCTAAATACATGTTACTCTGAATACAGATAGCGCAATAGCTGATTGACCTTAGTATTGAGTCACACTTTAAATTTGACAGTCACAGTCTGAGATGAGTCACTATAATTTGAGTACTATACTTCCATGACAGGCTCTAAAGAAAAAAACAAAAACGAAAAACCAACCGCATGACGAACAGATCAAAAATCTTTATCTTCAAAACTTACTTATTCTTGGATTTAAATCACTGGGGTTTGCAGTATATTGAAAACATGCTTTCACATCCATCCTGTAACAAGTGCCAAGAAATTAATATTAACTTTAATAAGGCATGGTCCAACAGACTGAAAAGTTGACTTTTCAGTCAACTGAAAATCAGTCCGTTGACTGACATTATCAGTCTTATGACTCTGGTTTTCATGCTAGAACAGTAGTTTGCTGCTTACGAAACTGAATTACAAAGCAAGAAAACATGGTTAACAAGCAATTAGAAAAAATATTTTCTGGTATTTGCTCTTACATCTCTACTCATGAGAAAGCTGTTCAAGTTAAGATACTTCTAAGTGTGGCAAAGTGACACTCATTTTCAAAAATGGACATTATGAACAGAACATATTCCACACCTTGCCTTTAGCACAGTAGTCATAGCAAATTCAGGAAGTCAAAATGATCACATTTGCTTAACCTGCATGACTGTCATATCCCTTCACTTTAACATCATCACCAACTGAACGCATTTTGACAACAGAAAACTCAATACACCAAGGCTTCTGATACAATAATTTTTTTTTAAATTTACCATATTTCACTAGGGTCCTCAGGGTTCTTTTTCTTTAGATCAATTCTGTCAGGCTGTACTGTAATGCTTCTTCTAATGCTTATCACAGGCCGAGATCTTCATTTGGGGGAAAAATGGGGAATGAAAAGAAGGGGTAAAAAAAGAAGGAAAAGTTTCTGTTAAGATTAATGAAATAATTCATGTGAATTCCAGATGCCCTCCATGCCTGCACTGATTTGCAACAAAGACACCCCAAAAAACACAGAGTTTGGCTTTGATAATGGTTAGAAACAAAAGAAAACTACTTAAATCTAAGCAAAGCAAGTCACAGAAAACGACTACAGTTGTGTTAAATGCCTGACAGGGGAGCAGGGTACATTAGTGTGATGTTGTGGTTGTCATTTTATATACATATAAAAACCAGAAAATTCAAAGTGATGGTTCCCACCCCAGCAGTAATTCAGTGAACAACTGTAGGCACTAAAGTTCATTCAGATTAATGGTCACAACAGCTTTAACGTGGAGCCCGGGTGGCTGTGGGAAGCGATGTTTTCATTTCCTGACTCCCCTGCCTGTAGGCTGTAACCATAATTCAGCCTGACAGCTCGTCCTTTCTCTTCCTTTTTGGAAGGGACAAGAAAAGACAGTTCACATGAACAACTGAACGAGCTGATCCCGCTCTCCTCGGAGCATCTAAGGGTTGTTTAAAATGGCCAGTAAGCTACCTCCTCCTTTTCTAGCAAATTTCTTTTAACTGGGCCACCCCTTTCACTGTTCGTCACCATAAAGGTTTTCATTCTCACCTTTGTAAAAGTTTTTGTATTGCCCTTATCAGCAAACGATTAAAGCTGCTTTTGAGTAAGCAGAACACTTAATAATGTAACCAACTTCCACTCCACCTACTCTGTTCTCTTCCACAAGCAACACGAGTTGCTTTTGTTGGGTGCTGTTTCAGTGTATTTAAGAACATTCCAATTACGTACACAGATACTATACACCTTAGAGATGGGATCATCAAAAAATTGCAGGAAAGGTCATTCTGCCTGAAAGGTAGAGTTGTTTTCACCCCCAAAATTGAGATAACCAGTTTTGGAGTTTCTGTTCCTCCTCCTTTGGGACCTGACAGCAACCACCAGCCCTGAACTTGATGCAGCATTCACAGCTGTGATGAGGAGACCGCCCTCTTCCTGCTCATTACTAGTGATTCAACTTAACAGGACATTAAACTGGAAAAAAGCAGAGGTCTGTAAAAGACAGTGACCTCATCCCTAATTAAGGCATGCGCTACAGAAATCCAAAAGGGTCCTATCTGCAGGGCTTCCTCACAGCTGTTTCATGGACCCCACTGCAACCTCAGCAAGGCTGTATGCCTCACTGCTTTTGGATCCTCAGCTACAAAAGCGGGGTTTGCTTTGGTTTTGTTCCGTCTTCAATAAAGCACAATTAGATTCATGTAACAGCAGCAAACAAAAGCTCTAGCAAATGTATCAGTTAACGTCTCCTTTCTTAAGGCAAAAGAATTACTTATCACCCTTAATTCCAGCAAAGGACATGGGCATCCAAGTAAGTTACTGCAGGGCAAAGCGAGGGTACAGATACACCTCACACAGCAGCACTCCACAGCAACTGCCCACATTCACCCTCTTGCCCTGTATCGACAGGAAGGCAGCTTCTCAATGAGAAGAGGGGGACAGAGCAACAAACCACTTTATGGATTTCCACACACCCCCCCCAAATTTCCAACTTCTAGAAGGAAAAATACACTCCAGGCCAAAACAGCTTTTTGTTACTTCTAAGCAGTTTGTTTTAAAAAAAAAACTAAAACCAAAACCTTGGTGTAAGTAGTTACAGTTCTGTATATAATACCTGAACACAGATACAGAATCTGAAAGGGAACCAACAGCAATATCAGGGTAGGAATTTTTATCCAGGTCCATGTTTCCAGCAATAGAGTAACCAAAGAAACTGGTGCCTGTTTTTTCACCATCAAGAATCTAAAGAGCAAACAGATTGAGGGAATTCAGACATTTAAAAGCTGTAGAAGTAAAATAAGTAACAAGTGAATATCATTATCTTATGGCCAGGAAAGAGAAGAGAGAGAAGGAAATAGGACCGCTGTGTTCAGGTAAATGACACTGAAGCGCCAAGATGATTTGCTTTTCTTCCAAGAAAAGTTACTTTGCAATAGCAGTGAGTACCAGAAATGACTGTTTTGCGTGGAAATGTTGCCTAGCTTATCTTTATTTATAGTATTTATGCTGTATAGGCACTTGAAACTGAAAAAGTATTCTAGAAAGTATTCTAACAGTATTCTAGGAAGTGTAATCGAGTTCCATTCTCACCTTGCAGACTGAACACAGTGGTCCTCAAGAAAAAAGAAAAAGGCATAAACATTTTTTATCAAAAAAGAACGTGAAGTAGTAGTAGTGAAAGAGAAAATGAAGAAACGAGTTATTTTCAAATCCCCAAATTTCTTTCAAAAAACCAAAACTTGCACATCTACACACCTTTCTCCTTCTCTACATATTACTGGTGCCAAAGGACTGCCCCAGAAAGAAAAATGTGTATTAAAATCAAGAATTCCTAATCTTTCTGGTCAGCAGTGCAATCTTTGAAGGGTCCTGTGACTTTCTGCATACCCACCACCCCACTAACAGTAGTGGAAAGGGAGAAGATGGATAGCCCTGCCATTCCTCTAATTTCGTGCAAGACTGATTATATATAGTAAAGGTTATTTCATTACCTGTGCTGGCTTTGTATTTATTCCGTTCGTGGATCCGTGATAAATGTATACTTTGCCAAAACCATCATACGGAGCCCCTACTGCAATATCTGTTGGAAATAAGTTGCAACATCTAAAATCATTCTTACTCTTTCTGCAGCTGGCAATCATGATAAGGGTAAGATGTTCCAACTCTGGCATTGGCAAAAAAGTCACATCCATTTTTATTGTAATCATTTTTCACTCACCTGGGTATCCATCCTGATTAATGTCCCCAACGTTTTCAACTGCAAGACCAAACATGGAGTCAGTGGTTCCATTTAAGCGAATAGGTTTTACTCCTCCCCATTTGCCTTGCCAGTTAATGTAGATGTACACAGCACCACCGATATCTCCACTTCTGTCAAAATATTGCGGGGCTCCAACAACAATGTCTTGCCATCTTAGAATTAAAGAAAAAAAAAATGCAGTGCTTTTACAGAAGAACTGTGAAAAATAACTGATCAGACTGTGGTCTCAAGGTCAGCTAGCCAAAGAGCTGCTCAACAAAGACTAAAAAGTACATTAAACTGATGGAGCAACAACAGCTCCACTGATACTACACGCTGATTATGTTCCCTTTGTGGCATACAAGGATCCTCCAGGGCCTGCTTTGGGTATAGAGTCACAGAATCATTTAGGTTGGAAAGGACCTTTAAGATCATCGAGCCCAGCTGTTAACTTCGCACTGCCAAGTCCACCACTAAACCCGTCCCTGAGCACCACCGGAAAGGACCTTTAAGATCATCGAGCCCAGCTGTTAACTTCGCACTGCCAAGTCCACCACTAAACCCGTCCCTGAGCACCACCTCCACATGTCTTTTAAATACCTCCAGGGATGGTGACTCCACCACTTCCCTATGAGATTTGTTTCTTCTTTGTTTACGCTAATTATTTAAATTTAAATAAACTCTCTTCTATAATTAGAAATGTAGACGGTGTCCTGACTGGTTCTCCGAGATGGTCGCCATTTCCTCCAGCGAAACATGAAAGATGGGGTTTGGCACTCCTTGTATTTCTGATGTGAAAAACCAAAGCAGAAATAAACCAGATTGCCATCCTTCATTATACAGGCAGCAGGAGTTAACCAAGGCCATACCCGTCATTGTTGAGATCCACAACAGCAACATCATAGCCAAAGGAGGAGGCCAGCCCTTCTCCTTCAAACATGTGCTCAAGGGAAAGCGCTCTCTGATTTTTCTCTTTTTTCAGTAAAACAACTGCTCCGCTGTGGTTGGCTCTTGGGGCACCAGACACAAAAGTCATCTCATCTTGGGAGACAATTCCTTTACCAGAGTCCAAAGAGAAACCTTTAACAGAGAAAGGAATAAAATATAAACAAACGAACAAACGGCTTGTATCGTTAATAGGAAAAATAAATTCCCCTACTATATTAAAGTGGTATATTGAATAGAAGTTTTGTCTAAACCGGAGTATGATATATTGGGAATTCTCCCTTTCTGTTTGGACCGGTGAATGCACGTTTACAAGCGTACACTCCTCCATACATTACACGTAAGTATTTCCCCCACAAAACGTATTATTTCATTGCTCGCTCAGATCTGCTTTTCACAGACACCAAATACAAGATCATTTTTAAACATACCAGCTTAGAAATGACTACACCTTACCACTTGAATATAGCTCGAGTATGTCACCTCTGGCAAAATCACTGTAAAACTTCCTAAGGACAAGTCGGTATCATTCTATTGCAAACATGCAAAATGTACTGCACAAGCACAGTATTGCAGATGAATGATGCGTACGGTATTTGAGAATCACCTTACACAGTAATGGTGAAATTGGCAATTTTGATTTAATGCAGCCCTAAAGGACATGTTCAAACGAATTTAGTCTTACGTATCCTTTATAAAAGTCAATGCATTTTAAAAAACATGAAAAACTGAGTGAAAAGAATATACCGCATATACCAACATAGCCAATAAAGGCCAAAGTAGAAAATTACACACGTTGCAAGGAAGAAAGATACTAGCCAGCAGAGAGACATCTCCCTTCCGAAACACTTCACCACCACTATGACAATTCTCAATTACAGCAATTCACAATGAGAGTTTCAGAAGAATTCAGGGAGTCCCATCTGGGGGAGGGATGAGAGGGTTTGGCGAAATGCATGACAAATCAGTGTTTCTCTGAAGCCGTGTTACTCTGCAAGCTACTCTTCATCTGAATCCCTGTTTTTACGTGCTTTTACTTGCAATGTGTTTGAGATGAGGGGGGATGGAGGGGAGAGGGTCGTGTCAAAGGTCTGGAGATTATGTCTGACCAGATGCTGCCACCTCGGGTGGTCACAAACCTAAGTAGCTATTCATCATTACATCCACCGATTTGTCCACCTGTATGCTGGGAGGCAATGTTTTGTATACAAACTGATCTGGATGAGTATCAGATACAGCTGTCAAAAATAGAAGACCTGTAAACACGAGTGAAAGATTGAAGAGAAAAAAGATAGCAGTTAAGCAAAGCAGCTATAACCATGTTTATGTACTGCCTAAACAGAGGGAACAGCAATGCCAGTGAACAGCAGGCTTGCTTGGAAGTGGTTGTGATTGCAACAAATCAAAGGCAGCATTTACATTTAGGAGATAAATGCATTTGTTACAAAACTGCAAAAAGTCAGTATTGCTCTGTTCACAGCAAAAGACACCTCCACAGCACTCCTCACCTTACCAATTCTTATTTCACCAGAAGAGGCTATTGGCTTATCTTTCTAACGTAAGCTCTTAGGAGATATACTTTTTTTTTTTTTTTACACCCAGTAATAACTGCTGATATTTAACAGAAGTTTATGTTCTATTTCTTCTAACAGATACGTAGCTCTAAGTTGGCTCTTTTCTTGGCTTTTACTTTTTGTATTAGCAATGCCCTTCTCATCTGTTCAGCTTTCCACCACTCACACAGAAATTCCAGTTTCAGGTTACCAAAACTTATTTGCTGCATATGCCAAAAGCAGCGGATCAATACACCACAGAAACCTGCACTAGAACAGAGAGGTTCTTTACACTTTACACTTGAGGCCTTCCCAAAAATGTAGCGTAGCCTTTTCTGTGCACCAACGTATCTCACTGGCGTACAGTAACATCCACTGGCCTAAGGACATATTTCTGCTTTCGTGCGTGCACAAAGGGCAAGAGACTCACCTCCTGCAACATACACACACACGCTCTTAAAATATAAACACTACTACTCATATTATGGTATTTTAAAGGCCTGTAAAAAGGCCACTGGAGTTTTAAAAACGTGAAGAATAAAAAAATTGCACTTACCAACCAGGAGAGAGAAACTGCAGCCTTTACAGTTACATCCAGAAACTCACATCATGGTAAACCTTCCGATACTACATGGCAGAGACCTTGTGACTAACAACTACGGATCCATACCCTGTACTTAACCACTGGAGCGATTACAGTCGCTCCCTGAGAATCCGTAGGTCCTCAACACAGCTCTTAAATCTCTCATTACATTCGCAGCTCTTCTAGGTACCTCAGCAGAGTATCATCTTACATTTAAAACTGGCCCATAAACATGGAGGGAGATGTGAATTATCCAAAATGGTTAACATGTTACAGGGTCCACAAATGAAGGATTTTCTGCTCCCATCTCATATCATTGCACCAGGCTGGGATCACAAATGTTTAAGAAGCCTAAAGAGATTTACCATATGTACTTAATCCTACCTAAGTAACTGTTAGCTGGAACAGGAACTAGATTCTTATCTTGGCGGCTCTCATCACCAACTTCGTAAGGCCCATCATCAAAGATACCCAGATCATAAAATGTCTGATTCTTTTGCTCTGCGCGAACCACCCCTGAAGAAATGAAATGATAAAATAAAAGCAAATGAATGGTAAGGGAGAAAAATAACAGATAAATGGTTCCCAACTAACATTAATTACGATGAATGAGATAGTGACTGCTGTTTACATGGGACAAACACGGAATACTGCACTGGGTGAAAGCGTTTGCAAAAGGCAATGAATTTCTAAGTTCTATCCGTGTGCCAGAATCTCACGCTGCTCTACAGCAATGATCTGGAAAACATGGGATACTAAGAAAATTCTCAACAAAAACATGGGACCAACTCGGTCAGGAACCACCCTCATCCCACAGTTCTTAACCTCACAAAGCCTCTCTTAAAAGGGAGGTAAGTACACAGGAATAATAAAAAAAAAAAATTACTGTTCAGCTATGACAAACACCGGTGATATATTTAGAAAACATTATTTAAGGGGAAAAGAGCTATTGTTCGATAAAATGTGTGCTTCCCTTTTATCAACAGGCATATTTAACATTTTGGCAAGCACAAACATGTTTTTCCATGATACAAAAGAGTACTCTTATGGCTGATATACTGTCATAGCACTTCTCTGCAATTAAAGTAAAACAGTGTCTGAACTCAATAATGCTGTTTCAGCTTGGTCAGATTTTGTTGACAGATACGTGGAAGATTAAGTTTTCACTAAAGTACACCTTGTGCCAGAGCTTAACTCAAAGATTTTGCATGGTTCATATAGCAGGCACAGGTGTACGAGGGGAAAAAATGTAATGGTTCGAGGATCAGATGTTCTAAAGAGGGAACTATTTACAGCTGTTGGTGTAATGAAGTGCGACGGGAAAAATCACTTTAAGAAAAAGAGACAGAGCGGGCCATTTAGATGCTTCTCAACAGAAACTAACGGAGAAAATCTATGTTTCTTTTCCCGTAAGTTTTGGAATGTCTCCTAGATGATATAGAGTACTTGGCTCTTAGACAGATTATCCATGGAATTTTACATGGGTATCCATGGATTTAGATACGAATACATGTAGTATTGCTTTGTTCAGTTATCTTCCTGCAATCCTCCAGTATTTAATTTGGGAAGTACTACTTTCCACAGACTTCACAAAAAATAAAGTGGAGAATACTGCAGGATATAAACAAAGATCTCACTGCAGCTATCTAACATTTGCTCAAATGCAGGAAAAAAGTTGGTCAAATAACCTTAAAATAATTTGGTAGTTTGTTCCAGTATGGAAGTCTCAAAGCAAGCACTCAATCCCACCGTAAGATTAAGACTAATAAGGGAAAAATTTGCTGTACATATGTGCAAAGTTCCATTATCCATTCACAAGTACTCCCTCAAAGATATTTAAAGGAACTTAGTAAATACTTTTGATACAGGAGCATAGCATTTTGTGAAAACAGGTAATATCATTCGATCCCTATTATCTCCTCCCCCCTTGGAACAAAAAAATTAAAACTTGGGATGCAACCCTTGTGAGCAATCTCAGAGGCAATGGGAAGGGTAGGCAGGAAGGAAGCCAGGTCATACCTTTCCAATTGTAAGTGCCTGGGGCACCAAACACAATGTAATGATAGTCTCTAGTAAAAGTAGCAGCAACACCTTGCTGACAGGAGCCAAACTTCTCATGGCCTCTTAAACGACCATCACAAAAACTCCATACTCCATTATCCATATCATCCTTAATAGTGAGATCCTGGCTCAGCACATAGCACCTTCCAATGATATCCCGGGTTTCCTGCACTGTGTTTACATACTGCCTTTTCTCATAGCGATGTGCACACGTCTGCAAGATAAAAGAAATAGTAAGTGATGCTTTCTGTATGTTTGTATGCAAGTCATGAAAGAAGGCTGGTCTCCTTTAGCAATACTTCATGCTAGCGATGCTGTAAGTCAGTCACCTTGTAGACACACCCGTGTTGCAATGCAGAGAGAGTCCACTGTTCCCTATGGGCAACGTATGGGAAAGGCTGGGCATCTATGGATACAAGTCAGAGCAACCAGCTTCATGGTCAAGGAAGGCCACATGGTTAAATCCCTCTTCTCCGGGATTTAGGGTTTTTAGCCCTAAAGCCTTCCCTGATACCTAATCCCTCTCTTTCAAGAAGTGAGGAGAGAACCACCCTATCTCTCATAAAGAAAGAAGTGGTTGTGTTTCCCCACAGCTGTCAGAGTTAGGTGACTCACACGCTTGTGCAGGACATGAGAAGCTGGTTCAACTACCATCTACCTGAGACCATTCAGAACTCGCCCCTTCCAGAGAAGTGCCACGAAGCAGAGGCTGAAAGCTTTTCCAGTGACGGGAAGGGGAGGGAAGTTGTTCCTACTTCCTACATTGGACTGTCACCGGGACAGAGCAGCAGCACTGAGCACAACCTGTTCCTTAACCCTTTAAACTGTTCACCTGGGAACAGAATTCTAATCAAACATTTAACACAAAGGGTGAATAGCCACTGGGTTAAGTGGTATAACCACCAAACCACTGTAAAAAGAGGTGGAACAATCAAACCCCTTTACCAGCAGTGGGTTTTGCAGAACCAGATGTAGTAGGTGTGTGAAGAGCACAAGCAAGCCAGGTTTCTCAGCTGACATACCTTTTCTATGGTTCCTATCAAGGCTTAAATATTAAGCCAACACCCAGCTGCTCCACACTTAAGAGCACTGCAGTACTGCCCTGCTGCACAGTGACCTTCAGACTGCTCATGCCTCATCTAATAAGTGCATTTCCCACTTATCACTTGCAAAGAAAAGTTCCTTCTCAGAAAAGACAAGACAGCATTAGTTGATGATTAATTATTCAATGAGCAGGACTCTTTCCATCTGCTCTTCCCCCCTTTGAGTTCTGAGGCAGACTGAAGCAAGTCATTACTGCCTCTATATCCTTAAATAACTCCAGATTCACACCCTGAAGTCACCTGCCTCCGGTTTTGGAAGCAGTGACATTAGCCTGCAAGAATATAATCAGATGGGGAAGCTTCTGCACACCCATTTTATGATGTAGCTGGTATCCTGCAGCACCACGAGAGGTTTATTTAACTGAGAGCTAAAAAAGTAACATTCTCTGATAACTCCTGAAAGCTTTTTCTCTCTGTATTGTATAAAATAAAGAATAGCTAGTAGTCTTACTGCAGTGCAATGGCCACATCAATTCATAGGAGCAACTCAGCCAAAGTCCCTGATGAAAGTTCAAGATCATCTTGGAAAACAGGCTGACAACAGCCTGCTACTTTTACAACCTTATCACACTATTTTTCCCTATTTCTGTAGCCAGTGGTATTTAAAAGAAACAACATGTATATCACAAAAAAAAGTGGACACCCTGAAAATGAACTGTCCATCCTAGATTGTTACAAAGGTTATAAAGAAAGGCTAAAAATAGTTAGAAAAATAATTTAAAGCTTTTACAATCTCAAGTGTCTTACTTTGCTAGGGAGACATTTAAGTCCGGCCTTACAAGAAATTGCAGAAGTAAACATAGGAAAGTCACCTTTCAGAAATATGCATAGAAACGCAGACCATTCAGAACATTTACCATAGACCCAAAACGTTTTTATAAGTTAATCCTTTAGACTTACCACCACATTTCCTCCTGGCCCCTGACTTTGGACAGTTACACCCATCCATTGGTCTTCTTTACTCTCCATCTTCGGGTCAGCTGCAGAGTATCATAATACAGCTTCAAATATTAACAGTTAACTACTTTTTTTCTTTTTTTTAAAGTCCCTGTCAGGACAGGACTTCATACAGTACATGAGACAGTCTGCAGGTGGCAGTGTCTGTACATTTTATCACTGACAACATCCATTTTATTAAACACTTCTAGCGTATTACTTCATGTCACATGAATTTACACAAGAATAAGAACATCCAAATTACCAAGATTTAAGCATCCCACGCTATCTTAGCAATTAAGCTACACCTTATTCTGATGCAAAAAAAGTTATGTATAAATCCATACAAGCAACTGTCTGATACACTGCCTCTGGAAGGGACCACATCAAGTAAGAAAAATCAGACAACTGTTTCAATCCAAAACAAAAGCGCTGAAGAACTTACTCTCCTCATCGAATATGACACGTGTGCAGCGTGTATTTGGAGATGCGATGTCACAGCTGTACAACCCTCCTGTTCTGTTGGCTTGTTGGGATGGAAAGGCCTTTTCCCGAGGAGCTCCAACCAGCAATCTGCAGGGAAAGAGAAATAATTTCAAGGCATCTGTAGAAGGAATATTAGAAAAGAGGAAGGCAACAGAATCAGGAAATGTTTTCACCATGTTGCCTGAAGTTTGACATGCAAACATTTGAAGCTGGATGAAAAGCTACATCATGGCACTGTTCCTTAAAAAAAAATAAGGGGAGGGGCTGTAAAGCAGTAGTAGTTCTGCAATTATTGGACCTGCAAACCAGTAAATGTATTGTTATTAGTGCTACAATTGTTGCAATGTTCACTGAGTGGATGATAAAAATAAAAAAAAAGTAGGTGTCTGGCAGTTTTGCAAAAACCATCCTTCTATCAGGGAGTCGTTGTTGGTAAGGATGGGAAAAGTATTGTTACTAAAATGACCACAAACCCCCAAAACAGTGAATAACAAGTGCTTTCAGGCTGTCTTCTAGTTTTACACCAGTCCTGTGCCACTGTTCGGCTGAATTTACGGGCACCTTAATATCTCCGACCCATGAAGCAAAGCAAGATCCCTCCTGGCCCAAGCAAGTGTTCACTGAACTACTCCAGGCTCTGTGCAAACATGCGCTCCCCCTCTCCACTCCTTTGGCCAGATACTCCATCTTGAAGCTGAAAATGTTTTTCTCCAACAAATCTCTCATCCCAGGCCATTCCCACAAAGGACTTCTTTCTCCTATAAAAAGGCCACTCTAATGAGCTCTCCTTAGACACTGTTCTGGGAACCAAATGTGAAGGGTCTTATTTTCAAAACTGAATAAAGCAAATTTTTTTCCTGTATCAACTGGTCCCCATATTATCACAAAATCACCAGCAGACACATTTACTTGCAAAATAAAACCCTTTTCAGCCAAAAAAGTTCTTACATTGTCTGTGTTTCTTTGAAGTGTCTCACACACACAAAGCACAGCTGCCTCTCAAGCAGCTAAACTGAAACTAATAACAACCAGTATGGAATAGTTTGTGGAAGAAACAAGAAACATCATGCTCAGCTGAAAAAACAAGGACGAGAGAACAGTGTGTGGATAGGTGCAACACAGCAGGTACGATGGATGGATGGATGGATGGATGGATGGATGGATGCTGAACCAGACTCCACGTGTTCCCTGACCCTGGTACAAAACATTTGAGAGAAGAGATCCCTGACATTACAGTGTCAAGGAGGGCAAAGCTGGGACTATAGTTGGATCCACAAGGCTCAAAGAGGAACTCGGACCCTCTTTAAAGCTTCAGCTATAGTTTTGCTGGAGAGAAGAGCTTTTTTGCATGCTTTATAGTGGCAGTGGGACAAAGTACACTGCTGTCCCTCAGAATGCTTTTCTTACTAAAACAAGACTCACTTTTATTCATCTAACAGTTAAGACTGGATCAGTTAAGATCAATACATAATTTTTGCTATTAAGAAAACGTTTATTCAATGTCACTAAAGTAATGAGACACAAGATGAAACGTATTATGAGAAAACACACTTTTTTTAAAACACAAAATTACATCTGTATTGTGAAACAGCCAAGTTTTCACCACTTTTACAGAAATAAATTCTCCCACAATCCATAATTTGCCCTCATGAAGGTAACCCCTGAATGGTGAAACCTTCAGGTAAAATATTTGCTTTTGACTGATACACATATAAAATCAGGACACACAGTGTGGGTGGGTTTTGGTTTAAAGTGTTTCCTTCTTTTCCCCCTACATATGTCTGGCATCTTTTTCAAAGATGTTTTTCAGAAACGTAGCAGTCATCACAAGAGTTTGTAATCTAAACAACCATGCTTTTAGAAAGGCCATTAATAACTTCATTTTCTAATTTTGGTAACAGTGCATTTAACTGTAATCTCTTAGAGTAATTCTTTTGCAAAGCATCTGTTTCTGAGCTATTCCTAACGTGGGAATAGATAAATTTTCTCCTCAGTTCTGTTATCCCCCAGGGAAAGACAGATGAGAATTTTTTTTTTTTTTTAACATTAACAACCATAAATTTAAGAAAGTAGAGGTACCGATTTCCTAACTTATAGAAATTTTTATTATTTCTACTTTTTCATTCAATGCTTGGGGGGTTTTATGATGTATTGAATTTCACTTACAGAAATTTGATCAGAAACCTTTTGTTTCAACATTGTGAACACAACTAAAAGCTTCTGGAATTGAAATACTTAATTTGGTTTAATTCACCCATCTGCATACTACTGACAGCAGTGGTCCTAGATCAAGAAAATTACGACCCTGTTCTTTTCTGTGGGATAACTAGACTACATCCTCTCCCTAGCTAAATGATACCTTTTACAACATACCATGATGTGACCATGATCTTGATGACAATTCAGCCAGAGGGAAGACCTACTGAGGCATCAGGTAATAAACCGCATAGCCAACAGAAGGTACAGTGGAAAGATGTGCCACCTGACGTAAGATGCCCCAAACATTCAGTGGCATCTCAAACAGACACCTGTTGAGATCAATAGATGAAAAATGCAATTGTTCAGCCTTCTTAAAAAAAAATTTTAAAAAGTGTCAATCTAACATGATCTCAAAGGAAACAGGCGACCTTAGATTTTTCCCAGTACCCATACCCCCATTCAAATCTTGCATAAGTTATTTTCCCCTAATTTTGCATAAGTTATTTTCCACTGTAAACAAAGTATTTCAAAGCAGACTTATTTAAAACCCTCCAGAGTTCAAAGAACTTTTGTCAGGAATCCTGTCACTAGTCTTCAAGGCTCATCAAACACAAAAAATCTTCAAATCAACCCTGGTGGAAAATCAAAAAAACAAAAGAAAATTTTTTTTTTTTTTTAACATTAACAACCTTTAATTTAAGAAAGTAGAGGTACCGATTTCCTAACTTATAGTAATTTTTATTATTTCTACTTTTTCATTCAATGCTTGGGGGGTTTTATGATGTATTGAATTTCACTTACAGAAATTTGATCAGAAACCTTTTGTTTCAACATTGTGAACACAACTAAAAGCTTCTGGAATTGAAATACTTAATTTGGTTTAATTCACCCATCTGCATACTACTGACAGCAGTGGTCCTAGATCAAGAAAATTACGACCCTGTTCTTTTCTGTGGGATAACTAGACTACATCCTCTCCCTAGCTAAATGATACCTTTTACAACATACCATGATGTGACCATGATCTTGATGACAATTCAGCCAGAGGGAAGACCTACTGAGGCATCAGGTAATAAACCGCATAGCCAACAGAAGGTACAGTGGAAAGATGTGCCACCTGACGTAAGATGCCCCAAACATTCAGTGGCATCTCAAACAGACACCTGTTGAGATCAATAGATGAAAAATGCAATTGTTCAGCCTTCTTAAAAAAAAATTTTAAAAAGTGTCAATCTAACATGATCTCAAAGGAAACAGGCGACCTTAGATTTTTCCCAGTACCCATACCCCCATTCAAATCTTGCATAAGTTATTTTCCCCTAATTTTGCATAAGTTATTTTCCACTGTAAACAAAGTATTTCAAAGCAGACTTATTTAAAACCCTCCAGAGTTCAAAGAACTTTTGTCAGGAATCCTGTCACTAGTCTTCAAGGCTCATCAAACACAAAAAATCTTGAATCCTGTTAGGTACATCACTGCAAGTCCTTATTCACAACACAGTTCAACAGTAGCACACACTCTGAGCAGGCGCTTGCAAAGGATTAGATCAGATCAGGTAGATACTATGGTAAATCCTGAAATGTATTTTCAAGTAGCAGCCAAAGACCCATTGAAAAGCAGCATAACTCCTTTGTAGTTCTTCACTACTTATCTGCCCCGAAGACCACAGCAGAGAAGACTAAACCAATGCTTCCAGGTTCTGCAAGACAGGTTACTAAAGATGATGAGGATTATAAACGTTATGAGGGTTATCAACATTATTAGGAATGTAAGAAAGAAAGTCACGTGCATCTCTAATCTTTGGCTGGATAAATCAAGCAAAACATAAAAATCCCTTGTCAAGCACATTGTGACTTGTGATCAACAGAGCTGCTGTTCACCTTGCCTACTGCTCAAGAGGTACATTTGAAAAATCAGAATTCTATTATAGAAGCCAAATTACTTCATTTAAAAATAAAAGTGTGCACGAAACTAAGGAAGTATGACGTGCACCATGCACCAGTGTGAATTTCAGCATGGCTGCAGCAGTCCAAATGAATCGGCTTGTACACTGAGCTGTGCTACGTGCTCAACAGAGTCTTTCCAGACTGAGGACACATTCCAGTCATTACTGTATGGCTACTTACTCAGCTGTGTTTTAACAGAAAAATTTTAATCAAGTTTGAGCTCATTATGCCAAAAATGGGTTAGGTTTTTCTGCAGCTATGCATGTTCCATTTTAGCTTTCCCAGTGGCAAGCAAAACCTCTTTCTGCAAAAGGAAAGACGTAAGGGGGGGTGAGGAGGTGCTCTCCTAACTATATCTCCTTATATTGGCAGATGAAACACTGAAATTAAAACCAAAGAACTTCCTCTGCAACAAAGACTGACAAAAATAAGTTCTTCATTTCTCTCCACCCCTGATCACAGCATGATTCATTTTACTCATTGGGTCTTCTCCCTGAAGGTGTAGAGGGCTACAGTCACTACTTTCAAGTCAGGCCTGAATGCCTAAAGTCAGGCTCCAGAATCCATATTTAGATACCAAAATAAAGCCCTGATGTCAAGACTGCAGAGTCAGAGATGAAAACCCCAGAGAATCCAACATGCAGACATTTTACTGATTTTCTATCCCATGGCAGGTATGCAGAGAACAGAAGCTCAGCCACACAGTACACTGAACATAAACACGTCTGAGCATCAGTTCCTGTTGGAGCCTTAGCTTTTTATGATGACTTAGTATCTAAATGTTTACCATATGAGCTAAAAGTCAGACAAAAAAAATATTACTATTCCTCATGTAAATTGCAGAATCAGATGCTTCATACTACTTGAATCCTGATTTCCCCCATTCATCTTGCTTTAATATATACTATAAACTGATTAGGTTTTCCCTAAGCCAA